GAGAGCGGCATCTCAGCATGTGAGTAAGCTCCAAGGGGACACCTGGGCTGCCATCATGTCATCGCAGGGAGGCCACAGCAGGCCCAGACGGAACGGAGAGCAGACCCTAACCCTCAGGCTCCCTGGCCTTCCCACCAAGGAGAGGTTTCCGACTACGGGGCTCTGGGGCTTCTAGGTTCCGGGACAAGGGGACCATCTTTTTAGTGGTGACAACTGGGGGTGACCGGTGGATGCTGACTGTCACCCAAGAAAGTAAAAGTGAACAAAAATACCAATAAAAACTGTATTTCAGTGAGCGGGCAATGCCAACCACCGATAACAACATACTGTCCCATTTACTGCCCAGAGCTCAGAGCTCCCACAGGACACCCGCCCGGAGGACTGTGCCACGGGGGCCAAATGCACGTCGGGGTCATAACTCACCACTCAGCCTCAGCCTCTCTGACTCCTGAATCCCATGAGCATGATGCAACTCCAAGCTGGGCTTCAGCCAGAAGAGGCAAGCTGACCCAGTGCCCACTGCTTATTAGCTCTGCCTGGTACTCTGAATCTTCCCGGATCGCCACTGTCCACAATGCAGGCGTATCTTTCACCTTTCAGAAAAGGGTTGATTAAGAGACAGCAGAGAAAGGTGAGGCCTAGCCTTGTTTTAAGAAGGGAAGGGGATTCATGTCCCTGAGGGCAGCCAGGACTCCACAGTGAGTTCTGATCTGAGAAGCGGAACTGAGTTTCTCCTCTGAAATTTGGTGGGAAGCACCATGTCAGCTCCTTCTCTAGCTGAGAGTTAGCTCGGGCCACCTGTGCCCACAGCACAGTGAGATCTCCTGGGATGAGGTCACAGGACCATGAACCAAACTCAGCCACGTGGCCACTTGCAGAGACCGGACCAGACACCAGGAGCGCCGGCACTCTGGACAGTAGCAGGGTGTGGACTTGGGAAAGATAGGTAAAGCAGAAGGAGGGAAGAGGAAGAGCAGGCGACATGGAGGTGCACAGTCCCAGCCGGGACGGTGGCAGAGCATGCGGCCATGCTGCCGGGGTCCGGGAAAGCACCCAGCCCAGGAGCACTATATATGGAAGAAACTCAAAACTGGCCTGTGAACCTGAAAGGACACCCCGAACCCCCAGAAGTGAAAACTGCCCATTAGGAGGGGCAGGGCATCCTGAGGTGAGGCTATGCATGGGGGTGGGAGCTGAGACACAGGCGAGGGGCAGGCTCACTGAGCACACATCTGGCCGGGCAAAGAAGGCCTTTGTGCGGCTGCTCTGCTGCCCAGGGCCCAGGTGGCTGGCACTTTCTTCAGCCTCTTAGAATGTAAACTCAGAGACTCTGCAGTCCGTCCGATCCAGCAGGTGGCGTTCTCCCAGCTGGTCCGGGGCAGCGCTGAGCTTCTTCCCTGTCTGCCCACAGGACAGGCTCAGGGCCCGGGAGCAGAGGACACATTTTCCTTGAGCTATCAGGGTGTGTGAGGCTGGTAGGTGTATCCTGATAATACCCTAGATACCGTAACTCCCATCCCTCAGACCTCAAATCTAAGCACAGACAGTCCATGAGGTTGCAGGTAGGTTAATATCTTCAGTGATAAGGTGAACAGACATGTGCACCTGTGCCCCTCAGGCTCCCAATGAGGTGGCTTATCTGGAAAACATGCTGAAATACACTCAAAGCTGGAGCCCTACCCCGGCTCCTGCAGGCTTCCCATCTCAGTGAGTGGCAATTCCGTTTCTCAGGCTGAAAGCTTGGCTGTGAGCCTGATGCTCCTTCACACCCACATTTGGTCTCTCAGTCAACGCTGTGCTCTTCCGTCCCAGACATATCAGTGCGTGGCCATGTCTCACATCTGCTCTGCTGCACCCGCCACAATGTCCCAGCAGCTCGAGCAGCCTCCCTTCCTTCCCGAGTCATTTCAGCACAGCAGCTGGAGCGTATGTTCGATCAAGTCACTTGCTCAAAGCTCTCCATCTCGGAGTAAGAACCCAAATCTGAGTGCGATCTGCCCACTCCCTACCTCCCCAATCATCTCCAACTACCCTCTCCACTCCAGCCACAATGGCCTCTCACTACTCAAAGTCACCAGGCACGTGCAGGCCTCAGGACCTTTGCACTTGTTCCTCTTTCTTCCCCAGGTAGTGATGTGGCCTGGCTCCCTCCCTTCCTTCAGATCTTTACTCAAAGGTCACTTCCTTTCAGACCTTGGGACCATCCTACCTTCCCTGCCCCCATAAGCAATAGCTCTTTTCCTTACTTACTTATTTTTTATCTTCTGAACATTTATCACTAACATATTTTTTACTTATCTTGTTTATTACTAGGTTTCTCCCAACCAGAATATAAGAATCATGAGGGCAGGGATTTTTCTTTTTTTCTTTTTTTTTTTTTTTTTTTTTTTTTGGTCTTTTTTGTTCACTACCATGTCCCTAGCACCTAGGATGATACCTGGCACATAGAAATGAGGTGGACTTTTCTTTTACATTACTGGAATGTATTTTACTAAGAAAATTATTTCCCTGGACTTAAACAGTTCTGAAAAGGAAAAGGACTTCCCTTCGGATTGTACAAAACTCAGGTGGTGCTGGGGGAGGGACCAGCTTGCCTCCCTTCAGAGAATCAAGGACTAGATGGAGAATTAAGGCCATCACTCCTCTGTCCCACGGGTTGCTGAGCCAGGAATCCAGCCAAAGGTTCCAACAGTTTCACCGTGGGCTGCTATAGGTCCTTTCACCCAGCCGCTGGTCCTCATCCTCACCACCCCCACTGCCCCTACCACCATGACCACCACCATGGCTAATACCTCATTTGAATTTTCTCCCCCTTCAGATAATTGAAAGTACCTATCATATCCTTTCTTTTCTTTTTCGTTAATCCTCATCCAAGGTTATTTTTTCCATTAATTTTTAGAAAGTAGAAGGAGGAGAGAGAAACACTGATGTGAGAGAGACACATCTACTGGATGCCTCCTGCACATGCCCTGACCGGATCGGGAATCAAAGCTGCAACCCAGGTACGTGCCCCTGACTGGGAATCAAACCCATGACCCTTTGGTGCATGAGCTGACGTTCTAACCATTGAGCACACCAGCCACGGCCTATCATGTCCTTTTCAAGTCTACTTTTCTCCCCATAATCCTAAACCTTTCTTCACTTGTGAGTGGCCCACTCTTCAGAGGTACTCACTGTGTGTCTACACCTCAGGAACCTAAACTGGCCCAGCACACAGAAGGCACAGAGCCAGGGGCATGTGCGGGGCGGGCCAAGGCCTCACGCTCACGTCCCTTTTGCTCCAGGTAAGACTTTTCACTACCACATCCCAGAGCAGCCAATGCCACGCTCTCCTCCCACCACCATCTACAAAGGCTCACCAGAAGCAGTGGGTGCTGAGGGGAACTAGCATTAATGCCGGGCTTCCTACTGCTAGACACTCCACTCTGCATTTTAATCCTCACATACAAAAAGTGAGCAACAGGTACTGTGTTACAGAGGAGGAACCGAACAGGGTGCCCAGAGTCACGGCTGAGCTGGGCCACCTGGCTGAGTGAGACCTGGAGGGCAGAGGGGAAGGCAGGCGCTCTGAAGGCCCTACGGGGCCCCAGTTCATTCATGGTCCACCTTGTTCCAGAAAGGAGAACACTCAACTAAGCTTTCCTGATTTGGGCATTCATTTGAATTTAAAAATATAATAACACACACCCAAATAGCAAACCCAAGGAAAACTGTTTGCATGCTTAAAATAATCCTAAACTAGCTCCAGAATGGCTATAAATGTGGGAATCGGGAGAGCAAAGAGAAGCCTGCAAGGCAAGCTGTCTCGCTCAGGGCCTCCAGACTCACAGGCTTGCGGAGCCTTTCCAAAATGACGCGTCTGCCAGAGGATGTGTCATGAGATATAAGTCACACTCTGGGGTGGGAGGGGGGATTGCCAGGGGTGTAAGGAAAGGTTATCCTAAGACCTCAGGTAGACAGCAGCTAAGGAGACTTGTCCCGGCCACCCTCAGCTTCCATAACTGCCCCCAAAGTGCCGCCCAGTCTCTGCTTAGAGGAGTGCAGAAAGGAAGGCTTCTGGGTGTCACCTCACTGCAGGTAGTCATGGGGGCGCGGATATAAGGGAAGCGAGGCTGCTCAGAGCCCTGCAGACTGTCCTGGTCCCTTCTCCTCCTCTGCAATCCTTCCCATCTCAATTTTAGCTTCTCTGGCCCTTCCTCCTCCTTCCCACCTCCTCCCCGCCTGGCCTCCAAAGGGCAGCCAGTGGGACGGGCGACAGCCAGGCAGTAGGAAATGCGAAGCCACAGCAGATCTCTGAAAACTCCAGCCCCAGGAGCCAGGACCGGTCACAAGGCGAGGGAGGAGGCCGCCACAGTTAATCAAAAGCAAATGTGGACCCACCCCTGGGGTGGGGGCCCGAGCTTTCCTCTGCAGCTGCCCGTGGGGCTGCCCCTCCCCAGCGGTGACAGAGGGCTGCGTGGCAACACGCACCCCGGCTCCTCTGTCAGCGAAGAGGCGCGGCCCCTCCCGGGGGAGGAGTCTGAGGGGTGCCAGACGGGACGCAACCCCCAACTGGACACTGTCAGCTCTTCCCATGAGTCCCTCTAGCACCCTACTGCCGCCCCTGGGCGGGCGGGGACGCAGCTGGCCTTCCCGAGAGTAGGGACGGAGGCGACCACTCGTCGGGGCTGCCGCCGAGACACCCCGACACCGGCCGCCGCGCTGGTACTGCTCAGTGACCGGCCCGCTGTGACGGTCAGGGCGCCTATTCTGGTATCCAGGCCGGGAAGGCTGCGGGGCTCCACGAGCGACTCCCTGTCCCCTTACCACGGCCACTCTGGGCGCCCCTCGCCTGGGGGCGGAGGGTCCAAGTGTCCCCCGTCCGTGCCAGGACGGAGGGAAGCCGCAATCTCAGTTGAAGTAACTTCCCCGCTCCCTTCCGTGCACTTTAAAACGACCTCCCATCCTCGCTGCCCACTGAACCCCACCCGCGGCGCCGCCCGCAGCCCGCGCCCCCGCACCTTGGCGCAGCGGCGCGCGTGCCAGCTCCGGCCGGTCCTCGGGGAACGCGTCCCGCAGGCGCTTCCACAGGCGGCCCAGGTCGGCGAAGCTGCGGTGCAGGTAGAGCACGCTGCGGTCCGACCACTCGGTGCGGATCTCGAAGAACTCCTCCTCGTCCCCGCGCCGGCTGACGATGAGCCTGCGGATGCCGTTCACCCAGCAGCCGCGCACGAACATGTTCACGAGCGAGGTGCCCTCAAACACCGCCGAGGCCATGCCGCGGGCCACGCATGCCCCCGCCGCCGGCGCCCTCGGCCCGCTGCCCGCCGGCAGGGGGCGCGTCCGGGCCAGCCGGGTGTGCCTGGAGCCGCCCGGGGTCCGTCCGGGTCTTTCCGAAGCCGAGGTCGGCCGCTCTGGGGGCTCCGCGGGACCGGGATCCGTCGGAAGTCGGTCGGCGGCCAGTCCCCGGCCTCCGCGAACCCTCCCGAGACAGCCCGGCGAGAACCGGGCGGGGGCCGAGCAGCGGCTTTTAAGGCACTTCCCACCGCGGGCGGCGACGTCGGGGCTGCGGCCGGTCCGCTTTCCTCCGCCTCCGGGGAGAGGACGCGCGCGGGGGGGGGGGGGGGGGGCGGGGGGCGGCCCGCCGCCCACGCCCGGCACCGCCCACCCCGAGCGCGCGCTGCTGGGGCCGCGAGGACCCCGCCGACCGAATTGGGGCGAAACCAGCGCTCGGTCCCGCCCCCTCGCCCCCTCCCCGCCCTGACCGCCCTCCCGGCTTCCTTCCCCCGCGCCCTGGTGACGGCTGGAAGCTGCAAGGGAGGACGTAGCAGGCCCACGCTCGGGTTCTGGAGACTTTTTCCTCTTTCCTCTTCGGGATCCTTGGGTCGCTGCGCGCCGGGGGCGTGGGGGTTGGGGGGAGCTGGGCCGAGCGCGGAGGGAGGCTGCGGGTCACACTCCGAAGCCGGGATCCGACTCGCGGGGCGTTGGGGCTGTTTGCCTCTTCCCGGTCTCCGGGAGCCGGCGCTCCCGCTCCGCGTCCGCCCCGCGTCCTCCCCCGCCCCGCGTCCCCGGTGCATTCCAGTCGTGCCACAGGCCGGGACGCTGGCTGCAGACAGACAGGACGCGGCCGGAAAGACAGAGGAGAGGGCAGGCCCCAGCAGGGAAGGGGCGTCTCCTAGACCTGGGTCGGTAGCCGAGGAGTCGCCCTCTAAAGGGGAAGGCGGACCCCCCTGCTGAGACCGGCGACACACTGGTGGGAAGACGTCCCGTGGCCTTTTGTGGGACCGAGGGACTTGGGGAGTCTAACTGGGGAAGCCACCACATGGGAAGAAAACGGGTTCACAGCAGCGGGGACTCAGCCTCCAGTTCTCAGGCTGCTCCTAACAAAAGATGCTTTCAAGCGCCAGTTTAAGAATTGGAAGTTGGTTCCAGAAGTGTCATCGGCCGCTCTGGGCTGGGGTGGGGGAGCCCGCGCGAGGCCCCCGAGTGTTTCGAGAAGTTCTGGAAAGTCTCAGAAGCCCAACTAGGGCTGAGGCCAGGTTGCCGGTCTTTTAACTCCAGACGGAGATGTTCCCCTGCCCCGCACACATCGCCACTACCGGGTTTTATCCAGACTTGCGGATGTCGTATCTTCAAAGTTCACCATCTCGGTCTATCGTCACCTCCCTGTGTTGGTCATGCTCCCCATTTGTCCTGTGAAAAACCCTCTGCCCATCTCCGGCCCTTGCAGGGAGGGAAAGGCGGGGGGGGGGGGGGGGGGGTTCAGTAAGTGTTGAGTGATGGGTAGACTGAACAAGGAAGTCCGCCCAGGAAGGGATCCTAAGAGAGCAGAGCAGAGTTCCACCTCCCCAAAAGGCCCACCAAACACCATCTTCAACCCCCCCCACCCCCCTCCCACACACCCACAGGTCCTCTCTGGACACACCCCTTTTCCTTCATGCCACTGGTGTGGGCAGCATCTCTAGCACTCTGAAGGCCAGGATGAAGGTGCTTTGATGCATCTAGTTTTTTAAAATATATTTTATTGATTTTATTGATTTCAGAAAGGAAGAGAGAGATAGACACATCAATGATGAGAGAGAATCATTGGCTGCCTCCTGCACACCCCTGCACATCCCACACTGGCAGTCAACGGTGACCTCCTGGTTCATAGGTTGATGGTCAACCACTGAACCAGGCCAGCCAGGCTGTGCATCCAGTTTTGAGGGCACACTTTGCTGTGTAAAATCTTTCCTAGGAAAAAGCTAGTCTTCATTCCCCTCTCACCTAGGAGTCCTAACTTTGTGAAGCTGCCCTTCAGTTTGTGCCAGGCATTTCTGGTCACTAAAGAGAAAAAAAGTATTTTCCTGTCACTGGTGTTTATTTAAGAGGCCTGGAACTGCCCTAGCCCGTTTGGCGCAGTGGATAGAGCATTAGCCCTGGGACTTAAGGGCCCTGGGAGGTCAAGGGCAAGTACCACTGTTGTAGGCTCAATCCCTGGCCCTGGCCAGGACACATGGGAGGCAACCAATCAGTTGATGTTTCTCTCTGTGTCTCTCCCATCTCTTCCACTCTCTCTAAAAAATCAATGGAAAATTAAGAGAGAGAGAGAGAGAGAGAGAGACCTGGAACTAGAGAAAACTGGGTAGCCAAGTAAAAATAACAAATGCCTCAAAGTCACTAATAGTTACAGAAATTCAGATTAAAACACAATGAACTGCCATTTTAAATCCATTGCATTGATACAGATTTTTTTTAATCTGTTAGAAAATTATCCAAAACCTGGATATAAGGCCAAAAGGGTAGTCATCCATTCAATGTATGGCCTTTCAGTGTCCTATTGAAGCATCATTCAAAGGCCCAAGGATTACAGGCAGTCCTCGGGTTACGTTGGACTCAACGTACATCGTTTTGTGGTTACGTCATCATCTCCCATTTACAGTATTTATTTTTTTAAAAGTTCCGTCATTTTGACGTATGTTCATATGTGCTTTATGTTTTTCATTATTTATTTACCACAAGTAAAGGTCAGGAATTATCTTTCTTTCAAATTTTTTTTACTGTTTCACTTCATCACTGCTGTGTATGTGCTCCATGTGAGTGACGTAGGTACTTATGTAGGTGGGTTCCGATTTACGGCGAAAATTGAAAATCGCATTAGGTCGAGCCGTAGGAACGTATCTCCAACATAACCCGAGGACCTACTGTATTTAGTTTTCTAGGGGACTGTAACATTGTTTGATATTGCTGTTTACTATTGATGAAAGGCTAAGACTCTAAGGTTATGTATTAACTTGTAGATTTGTGCCATGTAGAGAGGCAAATAATTTTTGTCCCAAAGAAAGATAACTTCAAAGGTTATAATTTATTGGCCTGTAGGACATTAACCATTTTTATATGTAGCCTAGTAATCTTCTTTTAATATTTTATTAAGAACTATATTATTACATTTCTCCAAGTGGTCTTTGAAATAGCTTTTTCATATTACAAATTTTCTCATTAATTAATAAGCTGAATACATTTTATACATGTGCACTCTATATTTGTAAAATATATTTGAGAGTCATATTTAACTTTTGAAAGTTACACATGGACAAGTCTAACAAGAACAAGGATTTTTTGCAAAGTTAGAGAGAGATAATCCTCGTACACTGATTTTGGATGTACCAGTTGGAAAGGCTCTTTGGAAGGTAGTTTAGCAGTAGTTATTCAAACTGAAAATTACATAACTTGTGACCCAACAATTCCTCTTCTAGGATTCAATCTTAGAGAAGCATTTCCACATAGGTCTAAGAGAAATGTACCAAAACATTCAATGTTGCAGTGTTTGCCAAAGAGAAAAATTGGAAATCACGTAAATATTCATCAAAAGGAGAATGAATAAATTAGTGCCACATGAGTATGGTGGAATACTATATAGCTCCAAACATGAATTCATTATAAAAATATAGCTAGATCTCAGAAACACAATGTCAATGGAAATGACTGAGATGTAGATATATATGACAAAACTACTAAATTTGGAAAGATACTTGCCAAGCCCATAAAAGTGCCTTGGGGGTGATGAACAAGTCAAGGTGGGAAGATGTCAAGAAAGATTTTCACTTTATAGATAATGTTCTTATATATATTTCAGAATTGAATGCAATAATTGTGAAACTTTAAATATATCTCCTGATGATGATGATGATGATGATGATGATAGAATCTCTGAAATAAGTGCTGGAACTTCTGACTCCTGGTCCTGCCCAGCCTCTGACTAACTCCAGTCATCATCTCAAACTACTGGCCCGAACTTGCTTTGCCAGGATTTTCGTTTTCATGAATGAGGAATTTAAAACAAAAAATGTTAAAGCCCATACTGTTGTGAGGACTAATAAACCGGTAGATGGTGGAAAGTGTGCTGTAAACACTTTGAGGACCTGTGTTATATAAATGTTAGGAACCAATACGGAGAAGCCGGAGTGGTTTCAGGTTGTAAATCAAGCTGATTAGCTAGTTCAGTGCCTCAGGCTTCATAATAGAATGCGAAAATGGAGAACAAAGAGGAGCTCTCTGGGTCACTGTCCCTCTTCCAAGCCGGGTGTAGAATGACACAGGTGTATCAGAGGAGGAGCCCTGCTTGTAGGTAAGAGCTTGGGAAACCAGATACTTCAATCCGATTAATAAGAGTAAATACGGGAATAAAAGACTTCATGAAATTCAAGGCCTTAACTTTCAAGGGGATGTTTATTTTTCTGTTTATTTTCTTCTGCAGTTGTTTGATTTTGGCTTAGACTTTTGTTTGTTTGTGTGTTTCATCCTTTCTTTCTAGCCTTCAAAGTTAAGAGAAAGACAGTGCAAAGGGTGGTAATCAATCCTTCAAGGCACCCTCTTTGTCCTACTCCTGGGCGCCTGACAACACAATAGGAAGCAGCGGGCTTCGAGAGTCTGACAAACAAGACCAAACACTCTGTCTGCCTAAACCTGGAAGGGAGGTTTGGGTGAGGGAGGTAATCCTGGACCAGGGGGGCTTAAACCCCACAGGTTCCACCATTTGTAACCATCCCCCTCTATCTTCACCTCCCCCAGTGTGCAAAGTTAGAGCTGAATAGTATTTTCTCATCACTAACTGTGCTTGGGTGAGTTTGATAAACTATTCATAGGAGCACCATGATTGGCTTGTGTGTTCTGCCTGGAGTTGTACTAGACACAATGAGGTAATCAGTGAGCTCCCAACTACCACATCTCTTCTCTGTTTCTCTTCACAAGAGTAGCAGTGACAGTGTCTCCCAGCTGTGAACATGTCTGTATTGGTCTTCCTTCGCCGGCTCAAAGTGCCTTCCCACTGAGAGCCTGCTTCGGGGCTTGGCAGGCCTTCCCCCTCCCTCCACTCTTGATTCCCACTTACCCTGTAGGCCAGTGCTTCTCAAACCATAAGGTGCCCCGTGAATCCCCTGGGAGCTTGCTGAAGAGCAGATCCTGATTTGATAGGTCTGGTTGGAACCTGACAAGTTCCCAGACCTCGTTGTCTGCAGGCTGCTCTGAGTAGCAGGCTGATTCTAGCATAAACTGGACAAAGTGAGTCCGGAAAGCTGTACAATTTCGTAGTACCTGCATTGCTTCTTAACTGTAACC